AATACTCCTGTTGCCCCCATACTGTGCCACAAAGTCAAGCAACCCGTGCAACCGGAACCTCCTTGAGAAACCTCGTAAGAAGAAACAGGCGCCAGGCCAGGTTGCATAATTACTTAATAAGCGTAATAAGCTGCATCTAGGATTATATATAGTAAACTGCCGGCACTTAGAATATGGCATTTTCATGAACGACCTAAGTGTGAGCTGCTTACTATACAGTCCTGGGTTCAACTTTCTGTGGTAAATCAATTGGTCCGTTGATACCACCGGTCGGTGGTGATGCGGCCTTCCTTTTTTGTGGCGGTCGAGCGGCAAAGCACCCAAGGTCACCCCAAGGAAGAGCATCATCCTTGACCTGCCGAGGCGCGGAAAGTGGGACCATGCCCCAGAAAGTGCCCATCGGATGCAAGCAGGGTTCGGACGCAAGCAGGGCCATTTTCCCGCAAAACAATGGGAAGGACCACGGATGACTACAAACGCAAAGTTCCAGTGGACATCCAACACAGTCAAAGAGATTCACCTGCGATCCTATCCAGAGGGCTTAGTTGTTGCTTGAAAGGACATTACATTTACATGGTGCGAGCGGGTTGCTACATCTCCTACAAAACCTTACCCCAGCAATAGGGGATCGTTCACCGCTGCGGTCTCGTCGAGCTGCCCATCTGGCTGGCTGATGCACACGTCCTCCACCTGCCACATTTGGTTCGTCCAGCACACAATGGCCTGAGTCGTCAGCGCAAAAACGGGCCGCTCGAGAAAGCGCAGCCCTGCAGTTTGTTTCCTCCCTCCTGCGTAACAAATGTCAGAATCCTGTGTGAAATGCACATGTCAGGCAGTGATAAAGCCTCAGGACATGTGCCCTGCCTTATTCTAAATCGCCTCCTAGGGTTGGAATTGTTTCAAGTGGGGCAATTGTTTGTTCGCTTTGTGAGGAGTGGGCAGTCCACGCGCTCTCCCAGTTTCGGAGTGCTGAATTTGCGCTGATCAGATGATCTGTTGAAATGTTTTCCGACTTCTGGCATAATGGTGTGATACGCGGAATCGCGGAATCCTGCTTGACGATCTACCGTATATGATATGCTTCCAGTGATTCTCTGGTGAGCTCTGGCAATCTAGCGGGTATGCTGCATGCTGTGGTGATTTGCGGCGATTGGCGTGTAACTCTGTCGCAACCCAGGCCACTCACACCACTAAATGCAACCGCAAATTGCTCAAACGGGTATCTGGTCGCACCACACAACAAAACAAGCCCGTACCGGAATGCTTGTGCGCACACACACACACACACATGTGCAGCACGAGAAAATTGCAACATTGCGAAGCATGCATCGAAATCTATCTGTTGCCTGCTAAATATTAAATATAATATATTACTACTATTTACTACTTATATATTGATCTCTACACGTATGTTAATAATATTCCAATCAGTTCTCCCGGCAAGAGACCCCAAACAATGTGTGCGAGGTCTACAACCAGAAAGTCTAGAGATCTACACGCATTGGGGTCCAGAGAGGTGATCGAGAGAGGTGATGGTGGTGATAAAGCTGGGGATCGTGGTGGCGGTGGCGGTGGTGGTGAGTGAGTGAGTGTGAGTGTGAGTGAGAGTCAGAGTGAGAGCGGGGGAGTGAGTGAGAGTGAGAGTGGGAGAGTGAGTAAGTGTGAGTGTGAGAGTGAGAGTGACGGTGTTGGGACAGTGGGAGAGTGTGAGAGTGTGAGAGAGAGTGAGGGTGAGGGTGAGAGTGAGTGAGAATCTGAGAGCACAAAATTCGGCGCCTGCGCCGAAATCTGCACTTCCAGGTTCACAAAGTGTTGTGCCTGCTACGAAATCTGCACTTCGAGGTTCACCAAGTGCTTGAAATCTGCACTTAAAGTGCTGCCCCTGCCATGAAATCTGCACATCGAGGGTCACCGAGTGCTGTGCCTGCCACGAAATCCACGAAGTCTGCAAACGAGCCACATGTCCAAAAGTCACGGTTCACAGCACCTGTCACGAAATCTGAGCTCCTCGACGATCACCACCATGTCGCTGCGCCTGCCACGAAAACTGCATATCGAAGTAAAACAGCTCCGATCCCTTGCACCTGTCACGAATAGTCGACTTTGGAGCACCAAAACACGAGGTTTCCCTTGCACCTGCCACGAAAAGTGACCACCATGTCCGAAAATGCGCACGGCACCACAACGAGAGCGCAGTCGCGACAAGCACCCGCGGCGGCCACCCAGATTTTTGCGAGCCTGCGCAGTCGAAATGCACTTGGAGGCTTTCGAGAGGCATGAATGTACTGTAAATAGCAACGAATCAGCCGCTTCAGCGATCTAAGCATCAGCTGCTTTTTCATTGCCGTAAGAACCCCTAGTGTGTCCACACTGTTTGGGGAAAAAAGTATGCTGGTAGGAAGGTACGCTAAAGGTTTGACGCTGGAATTTATTTTATAAAATCCTTTCGAGCTGAGGTCATTTCTATATTTTTTTGTGTGCCAAGGTTGGCAGCCAAAAAAAACTTAAGGGTTTTGAGCATTTATGGAATCCTGCGTCAACGTGCTTTATGGAATCCTGGTAGAAAGGTTGAAGAAGCTGATGCGTAACAAACATCCTGGCATATTAAAGTCCTGGTTGAGGGGTGCCCCTGCCCTCCCTCAAAGTGACCGGGCCTGCTTTTTCCGCGCTGTCGTGGTCTAGATTGTTGAGTCTCTTCTAAAGGTCAGGTGCTTTTTATGATTCCTCTGAATCGGGCCATGTTGAAGTCTATGTGTGTATGTGATTATGTTTTTGTGTGAACATAAGAGCTAGGGTACAAAGCGTCCAACGCAAGTCGGACTGCTGTCTCTCACCCAAACCAAACCTGGAGTATTTCTTGGGGCGCAATAAGTCCACTGGTTGCAACACCACGTCCAAGACACTGCCAGCTCGTCAAGAGGAGAGCAAAAACATCAAGAACAAAACACCAAGGGTGATATACAGAGTGGTCACCAAGTGTACCGCGGGCCCCGGTGGTATTTCCAGCAGGGTGATTGTTTCAAACAGGAACACGTGGGGAACCTCGATTAAACAGATGTTTGCATACTCTTCTGTGTATGCTAGACTCTAGACCAACCAACATAATAAATTCCTTGGTAAGACCTTAATGAAACTGTTATGAAATCCTGTGGTGAACCATTCCATCCTTCTAGGAAATCACAATGATTTTCTTTTCTACGTATCATATTTTTTCCTGCGTCAACATTCTAATTTGTCCTTTAATATTTTTGTGATTTTTCTGGAATCCTGTGACTGAGGTTCGGTACGAGAAAAAACATCAGAATAATAAAATGTCCCTGACGTCTAGGAAAAAAGTATTGACTTTCCTACGGGTATAAAAGTCAAACATCAGAAATCATCAAAGATCCTCTTACCATCTATTGTGATTTGGCATGATTTGGCTATTGAGCAACACCAGGTCCAAAAAAAATGAAAGTGAGACATCCTCCACCTCGCGTCGTTGTGACCAATGTGTAGGTGCAGCAAAGGGGCAGCTGAAGTGCCTGCAGCGCCTTCCATTTCACAGGAGGCAGTGCATCGCTGCCCAACCCCAGAGCTGCCAGTGCAAGAGAAGTTTCCAGCACCTCTGGCCGCTCAAGGGCAACTGTTCGAGCTGCCAAGAATTTCTGGAAGAAAAGGACTGCTGTTCGACAAATTTTCCATAGTTCTATGACTTCTTTGGTTGCTGTTCGGCCACAGCCTGGGAATGTGGGATACCAGGTCGGAGAAGCTCGGCTACTCAACTCACCGGAGACTCTCCATCTACTCGGCAAGTTGGCCTTGAATGCTCGGCATAAGCTCCCAGGTGCACAGGAAAGGCAGAGTGGTGACCTCAAACGTCTATAGCTGCGCTGCGCAGCTAAACGCCCGTGCTTTGGACACAGACGACAGACTCGGCAGCGAAATCAAGTGTCCCAGTCAGATGTTTGCGACCAATCTTAGTCGCACACAAGGCTTCTTTTGTTTAGTGAGTCTGCAACACCCAAGCGTTTTTGCTAGAGCTCCCGACACTGGTGGTGCTAGTGGCGGTCACGCTGGTCATGGTCACTGTGGAGGTAATCGCCAGACATGTTGGAAGTGGATTTCCTGGCGTTGCAACCGCCAGTATGCCCACGATGGGCAGTCACATTCATCTGAACTGACACCCTGTTGCTACGCGTGCGGGCTTGCATGTACAAGCCCCAAATGCACCATGTTTGCATGGGCAATCGCGATTGCCCATGCAAAAAGAAGCGCATGTGAATACCATGTCAGAAGCGGCCCCTGTCTCACCCATTGGGCGGACAGCCGGCCGCGTACGCGCGCACGCCCGTGCGGTAGTGTGGCCCCATCCGCCTGTCAGGGACCGGGTGGGCATGCACTGCAGCAGCTCGCTGGGACCCAGAAAGCCATCCGCACAGCTCACCCAGCAGCTTTGGCCTCGAAACGTGAAGAGAAGACGGGACGGTGGTTTGGCAGTAAAGATCCTGAGTCAAAAATAGTTAAAAGAATGGTTGTTCGGAATTCAGGCTATTAATGTAGACTCTTGAATAGATTTCAAGCACCCATAGGAAGATATAGAAAAAGGTTTTACATTCCAAACGGGGGCGGGTAGAGTGCTCTGAACGTGGAACAGTGACCTACGTCGAACTCCTCTATGACGGTGCCTTGACCAACAGGATTCCAGGAGAGTTTGGCTAAATTCATAACTAGCTGAAATGTCCTACTACCAAGTCCAGACTCACTACTAGGAGCAAGGACGCTATTAGGGGCTCCTGGCCGTACTGCTAGGAACAAGAAGCTATTAGCTGCTCTTGGCCTTACAACTAGGAGCAAGGACGCTACTAGGGGCTCCTGGTCTAGACTTGTCCAAATGAAAAGTTTACCGATTCAAAGCACCCAACCACATCAGCCACAGCCACAGCACATCCTTCCGCTTCGAACAGCGTGACACGAATCTGGGTGGCCACAAAGATCGAATCTCAGTGGCCATTCTCTCTTCACCTGCCTGTGGTCACATTGCTGCAGTTGTGCGCATACTGCGCCCCTAGCGGCAGGTTGAAGATGCCTCAGGTGGAAGAAGATGGGGAAACGCCCAGGTTCTCAGGGTTTGCTCCCACCAGCTCGCTCGCCACCTCCATGCACCGCCCAAGCTACATGGCAGCGGCGAGCAGCTCAGCGCCAGGCCTCGGAGGCCTACGCCTTGCATCTCCATGGCGCCTGGCACTGTGGGGCCAGCGCTGCTGCCTGGAGCCGCCGGAATTGTCACGCTCGTCATGCGTCATGCGTCGTTTTGGCGCTTGTGCCGCGTTGAATGGCCAAGGGTGTTAAGGACCAAATGACCACTGGGGTTGTCCTCGGTGGCACCTTGCAGACTGGTGAGCAACAACCGCCTGGCCCTCTGAACGCCGCTGGTGGAAGAAACATCCTCTTCCACCCAAACATCTCAGTCTTCGCAAAAAAAACGAAGGCTACACTTCGTGTGGAAACCTGGACTCTGCAGGGCAAAGGCTGCAGGGCAAAGTGTCAAAATGTCTGGTCTTTGCGCTGGAACGAGGTTCAGAATGCTGAAACTTGGAATTTTCTACCCAGCCGCCGCAGTCTTTCAACACCCTGCCAGGGACAGTTTCCTGAATCACTGTCCGCAGGGACAGACTTTCTGCCCAATCTTACAGGCAGAAAATCCCGGGGTCTCTGAGCCTCGCCAATTCACCCCCGCGCTGGGTGCGCCCGCGAGGCACGCTCGCGCCTGTGCATTGCCAGCTCTCACTCCGTGCGCCCGTCGACTCATAGCCAGCATCACAGAAAGCGAAACACGCCGCACCAAAGCCAATGCCATCGCAGGTGTGGGCCTCAGCGATATATTATGGTGTGAACCACCCATGGAATGGCCTCTTTGGGAATGGTATGGCCTTGATTTGTTCCCTGCAACGTGCACTCGGTGTTCACAATCCAAATGAGGGCTTACTAATCAAGAGTCTGCATTATGTAACACTTCCATGATTCTTTCAGGCAGTGTGTACCTTGCAGCACGCGTCTTGAGTTCCAGGCCAAACCATCGGACATTGTCACACTTGGACACGCGATGGCTTGGCACGTGGCAGGGCTGCCCGAAGCAGAACCATCCTGCCACCACGAAGCTTGCTGTGGGGGAGCCAGCGCTTATTACACACCCCTTGCCCTCTGGGGCGGGTGCAGTATGAGTAAAATAGTCGTAGGTATTACTGACTTTATAACAGATCGGACTCGGATGGCATGTAACATTGAATTAACATGAATTAACAATGGAATTCGGTCTTTGCGCTGACTTGACAGCGACTGATGCAACTGATGCTGATGATGCTGTAGTAGAAAGGTCTTGGTCTTGGCCACCATCACCAACAGGTGTTATTTTCAGTCGTCTCTTCATCTTGCACTTGCAATTATGTGTGCTTGTTGGACTTTGCTGGTAGGTGTTGGTAAGGGGCTTTTGCAAACGACAACCCGGTACACCCATGACAAAACAAAGCGAAAGCAGAACAAGCATTCATCCGTCTCCTGCCTCATGGCAGGTCCACAGCGCTGCACTTGCCGCGCTCGTGCTATATCCAAAGGCACAGTTCTGCAAGCATGTCTCCCCTGTGCCCAGCTGAAAAGGTCAGAAACCTCTCTGAACATGAAATGCAGTCACGTCAACATACATTATCTAAAAGTATTTGTTTATTAAGAACATGAACAAGGAATATGTGTGCATAGGTATATACATAGATAATAATTTTTGTTTATATATATATATATACTGTACTACTCACGAGCTCGTCTTGAGCCAGTTGAGTTCAGCGTGCCTGTCTTCAGAGAAGAGCAGTTGCTGTCAACTTCAGCTCCATCAACAGGCAGTCCAGACGAGCAAGCCTGGGCATCATAGTGGTGTGCATGGGTTGCAAATCTCATGCCTTATTCAAACATGCTATATAACCGATGCAATTCGGACTCCGCACCTCTCCCACCGGGCCCCAAAAGCGTTTCATGAGTCTCCCCACCCACCAGCCTGGGCGTCACAACTCGGCAGTGTTCCCTGAAGAGCCATCGAACTCCCATCCATCCCGCATTGAAACTCCTGCCGAAACTCGCCGACACTCGCCGGCACCGCCCCGAAACCAAGTCTGAAGGCTACGGACCACGCGAGGGGAAAGAAGAACAAAATGGTGCTCATTGTCATCCATGTGCTACATATCACGTGCTTGTATGACCTCCTGAAGAGGGGGGTCAAGTGGACAACGGACCACAGACTTGGGCCTCTTGCGCGTGGGACCTTCGCATGCCAGCACCATGGGTTCCACAAGGTCAACTGCCCACGGCGAAGCGGTCCTCTATGGCGCTGCTGCCATTGCTGCCGGCGTATCTAGGCAATGACATGGGGCTGAACAGGGAGGGCCCTGTAGGGTAGACGGCTCCAATTACGTAAGGAATATGTGTGCATATTATATGTACATACCTCTCTATATATATATATACACAATCATATATATATATATATTAAATTAGTCACGAGCTTGTCTTGAGGCGTCCTGTTACCTATGCCCGTGATCAATGCCTACGGGAGTCGCTCTCGTAAGGACATTGATATTTTAGACCCAAACACTCCACGGGACTGGCATATATATATATATATATACACCTACTCAATGAAGGCAAATATGTTTACCAGGATCCATGTCGTCTGGGTATTATGGATCTAGTCTAAGCTTCTTATATAGATACTACAACATACTATATATGGCCCACTTGGAGGAAACACCGCCACGTAGCGCCACAACCCCTCCGCGGTCCATCTGAAATTGAGCGCTTTGATCGACGGAAGGACAGTAAAAAATGACTGAACGACACTGCTGTTCAAGCCACCCGGGAGCACACATTACAGCACACTTGCTGCCATAGGTGCTGCCTTGGCACGAATGTGGTCACCCAGAAGGAGCCCCTCCGGGGTCATCATAATCGTGTCTTGGAACCGTGTCGAAGCACTCTGAGTTTTAAATTGAGCAGCCAAAGAGGTGTGGGGGAAGCAGGATTGACTGGCCACACCCTCAGGCTTCACAAGAAAGCAGCATTTCTGCTCATCCGAATTGCCTGAGCAAGTGCTCTGCAAAGAGGCCGGCAAAGCAATGTCAGGGCATGGCGATGGCGTACAGGTCGGAACCACTCCCAACAGGTAACCTAAGGCGAACAACCAGAGATTCAAAAATTGATCTCTTTCTGTCAGTGTCCAGTGTCTAGTGCAAGTGTGGTGAACAACCAACATGTATAATGCGTGAGCTGAACTGTGTGGGAAAAATGCTCAAGCGTTCTTACAAAACTCCTGAGAGGGACGAAATGCCAATCGCATGATCATATCATGAAGCATGGATTAGAACAATATTTAGAGCAATCCATGTGTAATTAATGTGATGTTGTAGCTTATCTTAAGAAAAATCCGCCCAGCCTGATGGATGACAGGTCAAGGAAGAATTGCCAAGCAAAAAACCTGGTAGACAGGTCACCTGCCAGTTCACCAAAGGCTACTTGCATGGAGCACATGCGCAGGTCAGGCTTGGAATCTATACTCAAGCACCAGCCCTATGCTACTTTCGTCTCTTGGAAATGATTGAGCTTGGCCTATTTCACCCAAAAAACTCCTTCATGGGACTGGCATATTTGCCTACATTGGAGTGGCTGAAACAGGGTCAGTGTCGGCAAATATGTCATAGGAGTGTCTGGGTGCGATATTTCTGGAGCGCTCGACCTACAGATCCTCACCTCGCAGGACTCGCCGGTAGTGAGGCCGTTACAACCTGATCGCGTCGGCCGAGATGCACGCTGTGCGGATGAGGGATGACGCAGCATCCGTGCAGCAACAGGTTGTTGGGGCAAGGAAGACTGAATACTGGTTTCCTGGACATATGTAGAGAATATAGAGAGAGAGAGAGAGTTGAATGAAACATCACATGGCTCCAATCCACTTTGGAGTGGAACAGTGAGGGTGTGGTCCATCTCATTCCCGTTCGGCTCAAAAGTTTGAGGCGTTCCTGGCCTGAAGCGTTCACCGTGGGATTGTTGGGCAAACCCATGTTGCAAGGGTTGCCCACACAGGTGGGCAAGCCACCCGAAAAGCTTCCGTCCGCCTGGCGGAACCCCGACGGAGGGTCCAGGGACAGACTGGGCGAGATCTTCCATGACCTGAATTGGTGGTAGGTCCCCAGGCGGCCTACAGTGCAAATCATGTCAGATGAAACGGACCAAAAAGAGCAAGCAAGTGCTGAGTGCTGAGGGAAATCAACTGATGAGATGGAAAAATGGTCTGTAGGGTTTGTGACAACGGTTTGTGCCTTCCATCTTCCAACCTCTTCGGAGGCACCGTGATTGCCGTGCGAGTTGCCGTGCGCAACTCAGAAAGAAAATCGACTGTGAAGGGAAACATCTCTCAGACCTCGAGATGCTCCATGATTGGTTGAAGTTGAGTTGATTCTTTACAGTGGATGTGCTTCTTTACAGGCATGTTGTATGTGATGTGATTCGCGTGGCAAGGACCTAAATATTCCGAAGGAACATGGAACATACCAAAACAAAATGGAGCTCCCCGGTCGCCGGTCAAAGCGGAGAGATGGGATCTCCAGGCCCCAAAGCATCAGATCCCATCGACTCGTGGTGTGTTGGATCGACTGGTCTGCAATCATAGTGATAAGCTTCGTGCCAAACCGTGGACTGAACCTTCTGATTTTCTGGAGCACGGGTGATCTGTCCTTAAAAAGGATAGATCGGAACAATCACACCAGTTTCTTGAAACCTTCTTCTCTGTTGTCATCTTTGGGGGGTGAGATGGGTGAGGGGCGGCTACAGTTCACAGCTCCTAGGCTGCACCAGTCACAACGACCCGATGAAGCTACGAAGATCGCCTCACATTGCCGCCGACTGCTGGAGCCCGAAAGCGTGTAGCCTGGCTTTCTTGGTGGAATTCGATGCTTCAACCTACCTGCCCCACAGCCTAGCTAAGCCGTGACGAGGCTGTAGGCCGTGTCCGCAGCTCAGCTGTGCAGCCCCGCTTTCAAGACCGCAGCACTAGGAGAAACGCCCACGAACTTGAGGTGCAAACACAACTGTTCCGGGCCTCTGGGCTTGGATTTGTTGGTATTGACAGCCTATGTGATGCACATGACTGATCGGCTCTGCACACTCCCAAGAAACCCGGACCTACCATGAACCTTCAATTTATGCTCGATCATTTGCAACTCCACCAAGTAACTTTGTCTTAAATGCTTAAGCTGCGTCTGAAACGTTCCATGAACCATTGATGGTGTGTCTACTCACTTTACTCAACATATTCTAAACATATCATGCAAGGTTTTATGGACCTTGCTCCATTGCCATGGCGCGCGTGTCGTTTTTCGGTCACCACCGAATCGGCAATCGGCGCACGTTCTGCCTTGGCCACAGCCCACGTCGCAGGTGTCCTGGTACCGCAAGCCTGTCCGAGGTGTCCGGCCACGCGGATTCTCCACTTTCGTGGCGACTCGTCGCCCTCCCAGCCCACCTTGGCAGTTGTGTGCATAGCGGGCGTCTAATTGCAGATCTTGGCAGGAGATGCGTTCACCTCAGAGCATGTGTAGAGTGCAAAAAGGTGTTGGGTGGTTCACCAACAGCCCCGGTTTGTAGAGGAAAATGGTCATCAAAGGGGCCATTGTCCACGTCCATTATAATTCCAGGGCGTGCGAGTTGCCTTGCCGGTCCATTTTTGGACACTGACAGTGGCCACTGGGCTGCATCTGGAACTGCATTCATTTACAACAAAATGCTAGAGAGGAATTCAATATGCCTTGGGAGGTGCACCATCATCTACTACTACTACTGCTAGTAGTAGTAGTAGTACTACTACTACTACTAGTACTAGTACTAGTAAAAGACTACCGGCATCTACTGGCTACATTGAGCTTTTACCTTCCCAACACGCCGACATGAAATGCGAATCTTGCCCTTTTTCGTGAAGGAAAAACCGAGAAAAAGAAACAAGCTTGGAGGCATATTGTGTTTGTCCCATCTACTCTCCAACCTTTCTCCAACTCCAAGACCTGCAAAACGCCAAGAAGCAGGTGGGAGATTGACCCGTCACGCTGCCCGTGGGCAAGCAAGTGAAGGTCTCCGCGGCCCATCCCGCCGAGTAGTCATAGCCCACCTGTCACGACAAAAATGCGAAGTCTACAACGTGGGACGATGGTTACCCTGAAACCTTGGGCTACTTGGCTATACTTGTACAGAGAGCTATATAAAGCTATAGTTAAAGCTATATTTGCATATTAGCCCCGGTGAGCCAATAAGCCTCCCAGACCTTCGATTCTTTCCGTTTCCCCACTGTTCTCCACAGTCCAACCGCAAGCGTTGTGATAGGGCGACCCTGTCTGACGGTGGATGGGGAACCCCAAGGAGGTAGGAATCGGAGTGAGAATGAGCACGTCGGCAGTGGGGGCATCGGCAGCCTCGGTGCATGTTGCCAGGCACGTCTCGCCAGTGCGGACTCCATCGCCTCGGTTGCACAGGGTGCCCTGAGGATCAAAGGAAACAATTGAACGGGATCTACATATCTACAGTAATATATAGTAGTATAGTATAACACACGTACACTGTACACTCCCCGGAATTCACCTGGATGTACATGGCATGGCCCCTGCAATGACCATTTTTCGAATCGAACACCGGTGCTTGACCACCACGTTCGTCGACCCATGACGATCGGAAGGTCGGTCGGTCGGTCATGCCAGGTCGCAAGTGTGCAACAAGCCCAGGGCATTTGGGAAAGCAAAGGTGCATGGCAAAGGGGTACAGGTTGGAAGTGCTGCTCCGACCAAATAGCCTCGAGTGGTCAACTGAGTTTTGTGACTCCACTGGAGGCAGTTGAAAAAAGGATGTCCATGGATGCATGTGGGTGTACAAATTCAACTGTTCTAGTATATAATATATATATATATTATTATTATTATTATTATTACTCATGTTCAAGCCGTGCCGCCATTGTCACAGAGGAAAATGGAAGGCTCAGTCTCGGTCATGTTCCACCCCAAAGAGCAGTGCGCCACACAGGCGTCATCATGAACCTTCGAAGCTGAAGGACGACATGCCGACATCAAGACCTACATCAAGACCTACGGGGCCATGATGTATCAGAAGGCCCGTCGAAGAAATGATACAAGAAAACAAACCACACGGTGGCCACAGTTGGTCAATTAGGCGGCTGCCTGAGCCCAATTCTGGGCTAATGGATGCGAATGTATCACTAGCTCGTGAGAGTGAACCCCACCCCCACTTGAGCAGTTCCCCCCCCCGATCCACACACCAGTTGGTTCAGTTGCCCTAGTTCATCCCTTTCAATAACATCTTCCGCTTACACCAGGGTTTCGAATCAGTTCCCGCCTTGCCGGTGCAATCATGTGTGAAGGACTCCACTGATAGCCCCACAGTCTGGACTGAGCCAGCGAAGCAAGTCGCAGATTGCAAGCGTCGACCGGAACTCGTGTCATTGCTCGTGCTGTTCGTGCCTGGCACGGCCGGAACTCGTGGCAAGTTGGGCGGCCGTTGGGCGGGGAGTTCTTTTACATCAATTGTGACGGTCAATGTGAGGGGTCCTCACAAAAAGCGCCTGGAAGAGAGGAAGTCTGCAATTTGGCTTCAGGGATGAACCCCCAAAGTCCAGGTGATCCGCTCTGGCCAAAACACGGAATAACGTGGGACTCGACGCCCAAAGTGGACTTCACTCAAAAGAGGGATCCATAGCCTTTCTACATCCAATCTCAGGTTTCCCCGTTTGAGAGCTATTGGAACTATCTTCAGCTCACGTATCTTGGAACAGCTTCCACAAGGCCATGCAATTCACTTCCATGTGTAGTCAAGTGTATCCACTGCCACGACCACGTCTGACATGGCGACCTTCCCAGTCTCTCTCGTGGTTGTGGTTGAGAATCCGAGCGGCTATTGTCACACAGAATGGCATCTGTCAACTGCTCAATTTGCACTGCATTTGCCGTGGCATTGGCTTGGCAACGATATGGCTTTGGAGTGCCTCAGATGGTGAAACGTCTCCCAACACAGTTGCACCTGGGGATGAGTCGCCGAATGGGGATTCGTTTTCTAAGTTTCGTCTGCTCTGTCGCCCGCAAAGCTTCGCCGTAGCTTTGTCACCCGGAAGAACTCGCCAGATCATGTGGATCCACCGGTGGCTGTTGGAAAGACTGCATGCATCAACTAGAGATGGAGACATCGATAGAGAAGTTGAAAGGACGTCTCAAGCTTTGCAAAGTGTATGTAGGTCATGAGCATGCGGTTGCAACACCTGTGAGTTTGCAGAGTCGAGTCTGGACCAGACCCAGACCTTGACCTGAACCAGTGCACCGAAAGGCACGGTTGACTGTGGCCCCACAGAAGGACAGGCAAAGATGAAACTTGCTCAAAGGGTGCACAAGGAGGAGTGCCACATAGATCACATAGTCCACTACAATCCCTAGGCCCTTGGGTCTCATTTTGACCGAGTCTGTTCACATGAAAGATTGAAAATGTGTTGTTTCATCCTGGACCACTGGACCACCCAGATCATCCAAAACTGCAATCAAGATACCCGAAAAGCCCGGCAGGCAATAAGCCCAACACTCCTCTCCCATGCTTCGATTCCTGCAAGTGCTTGATGCACCCTCGCCGAAGTCAGGATCTGCACAAGCTGCAGGCTCCACCACCGGCAGGTCCTCCCGAACCCGATTCCCTTTGACCAAGCCGTTTAGGTGGAAATTCGACCTCGAAGCATCGAGTGCCTCAAACTTCATGGACCGGAAACAATGGGCACGGGAAAACCATCGAAGGCTCTCCCTAGAAGAACCACGTCGAACCCTAAACCCTAAACCCTCCGACGCCACGCGTCGGCGAACCGGCTGCATGTCCGACGCCGCGGGTCCTGCGTGAACGAGCCGTCCGCCTGGCACGGACCCCCCCGGCAGGACCCTGGGGGCTTCGGAACGGAGCGACCACGAGTCGGTCGAAAAGAAGCTCCATGAGGGTCCCCAAAACCCGACCTCATGGCGGCTGCCGGTTGGCTGCCTGCTTAGATGTGCTTAGTGCTAACATAGCTCCTCTTGCTGTGCTTTGTTCAGATTATCTTCACAATTGTTCTTATATATAGTCGTATATGTTCTTCCCACTGGCCGCATCCCGCTCAGCCGGATCTCCCCCCATCCTTCGCCGCTTCGTTTTTTTTTCGCACCTGACACGTCAGGGTCGTTGGGCCAGAGAGCGTGAAACCCAGCTCCGCGCCTGAAAAAGAACGAGCGTGGCATGCGCGGAAACTGGACACGAAAGGAAGCGGGCCTCCCGGTCAGGAGGGTCTGGGACCCAAGATGGGAAAGAAATTGAGCTGACATGAGCTGACCAAGTTCTCACCAAATTGAGCGATCAATGTAACAACTCAGTTGCTCCTAGCTATATGTATATCAATGTATGTAAAGGTGTGTGTTTGTGTATTTTGGTATAGTCAGTACCATCCAAGGTGGCCTGAATGGTTCAGCCGCGAGTTGTGACCTGTAGATCCACTTGACTCGGCCCCCTCGAGCCCCCCCCACTGAGTATGCAGGTTTCTGCAGTGGCTTTGCCCGCACAATCATGCATCACGCCGCGCAGGCTTGGGATCTCAGCGGCGGCGAGGTCACGATGCAGCGTCTTAGACTTAGACCCCCTCTAAGCAGCTGCTGTCGGACAGGTCTGAGACTCCCCAAAAAAAATTGGTCTGGGTCTTGACCCCTGAGGAGCCAAATTGAGACTCACTGAGATGTCGTAGTCTAGCTCTCATCGCCCGGACAGGGCCCCCAGGCACCAGCTGTGCAAGGCTTGGGAGTGCAGCTTGGGCCCGAGGAATTGGCGGCCGGCAGCATCTGCCCTTGCGAGCGAGAAGACGCGCACGTGGCGCACGTGCGATTCGGGGGAACGTGCGGAAGGCTCGGTGGCGCGAAAGGGCTTTAAAGATGTTTAAAGAGGTTCCGCCAGCGCCAGGAGTCCAGTGAAGAAATGACCAGGTGGAGATGGATGGGAGGTGTATTGGCGGTCTATGGATGATGGCCTGAAATTCAATGGATTGGTTGTAGTGAACAGCAGAAAGTGTTCGTGCGACCGGCAAAATGAGGTCCTGGTGAACACGTGGTTTGACAACCGCAGATCTCCCACCGCACGAACCTTCAAGACCCTCCAGGAATCCAGCGCCAGTTTGCACCTCGGTGTTCGAACGAAAAGCTGCAGCACATAGCGCTTCGCGCCGCGCGAAGAAGGCCTGACGTGCACCTCTCTTCCAAACAACGAGGCCTTTTCGTCCGCGTCCGAAGCACGAAAATCGTGTCCAGCTTCGGACGTGTGGTACGAGTAACTGACCTCGGATTCCACCAAGAGGCATCTTGGCAATACAGCATGCTGGCATTCCCCTCCAACTGGTACCCCTGCTGGCAAAAGGCGAAGCACACCTGCCCCCCCCCCCCACGTTCGATCCACGGGACTTCCTTCGGTCACCCGGTCGACCGTTCATCTAGCTCAATTCCATTCGGTTTGAAGAAAACATCTGAACATCAGAACATCAGACTAGCATAGCCGCATAGCCTAGCATAGCCCTGAGCGAAAATCAGGGCGAAGTATGCTGCAGTATGGTGATCTAAGTATTGCAGTTATCTTTAAGCTGAATCATGTTTGTTCGAGCGACCTCCGGATCGAAAAGGACCAGTGAATCCGTGTCTTGGAAAGCGATGGTTTCTTGGCACCTCTACCTACATGGCAGAATAGCTTGAAAATGACACTTTGCCATCACTGGCCATCGTTTCGCTCGTTTCGTCCAGCTCGCCTCGCCGAAGACACTCCCGTCACATGAATGGCCTACCTGAGCCAACGATCTGAAGAGTCAGGACGGACTCCGGACACCGCGGAAAATTCGCACGGCAGACTCCGAAACGCTGCGTCAGTCGCATCACCTGCCCAGCCACGCCAGCGCTGGCAAACGCCGCGACGGAAGACAAGTTCCCGCATGGCGCCGGCTCCTCAGGGAAGAAGGACCATTACAACATCCCAGACACCCCGCTGGCTTGATGAAGTCTCAGCACCAAAAATGCTCCGCAAGTCTTTGGAATGTTTGGCTTGATGAGGACGTAACAAGTGAGTCACCATCTATATAGGTGGACTGCACGACCCGGGCCCCAGCCAGTCTGGATAGAGAAACAGTGAACTTCTGTGGGCTCCTCTGCCACATTAATTTTCCAACAACAATCTATCAAAAATGATGAACTGAAGGCTACCTTGTGGCCACGTTCGTGACAGTCTTCGTTCGTCTCCCTTGTATCCCTGCTGGATCATGAGAGAGCTACACTTGCCAGTCTTCATTTGGGAAAAAAAACATCACGAGTTCCATGAAATCAGCCAGTGAGGCACGCAGGACGCGTTGCTGCTTGAGAAGGTGCTGGTGGCCGCCAAACACGTCAGCACTGGACTGCCTTCCGTCGGCAATGCGGTGCTGAAGTCGGTCGATTCTGGATGAAACCTCCAATATGGAGTGAGATGTAACCCAGGTGGCTGACACCAGTAGTCCTTTGACAGGGCTGTGCCTCTTGAATCGTAGTTGTTGCACACCCATCATCCCTCTGGGTCCCTCTTCCCTTGACATTCCAGCTCACGTTACCTGGCGCATTGCAGAAAAAAGAACACAAGCTCAATCTGCACCATTGCCACAAGAGTCGACATCGTCTTTCACAAAACAAAAAAAGACAAACCAAACCAAGGTCGTCGGCCCAGTCGTCGATTCGAGGCCGCCTTGAAGCTCATAGCCTTGCAAGCATGTCACCTGGCAGGTCTCCCCTGAGACCGCTCCGACGCAATCCGTCGAGTCCAAGCCCATGCTCAAAGGAAAGCCTGCGGTGACGGTGACTCGCGCGAGACGCGACGGAGTCCTGAAGCCGCGTGACGAAGCGTGGCAGGTGGCGGAAGTTGCATGAAAAACTGAGGGTGAATGACATAGGAATTTGATGGGCTAGTGACATAGGAGTTGTGTGACACAGCGTTGAAGTCATCAGTCAGCAGACCAGCTTGCTGACACAGCAGAATGACATGAGGTGTGGATGTTCTGCCAGCACATAACCCCCCCAAATAAAGTGTCGAATAGAATACCGTGCCCAAGGAGAAAATATGACTGATGAAAGCTTCATGACGTAGGTGTGCTCCTTGAGTTTGCCCCACTGGAAACACAAGGTTGTCGCTCTGGAATTTAACCAATCGCTTTCCTAACCCCTTTGTCCCACATGCTAGCTGCTATGTTAGTGGCATACTCCTAGGTCGTGTGCGGTCTAATGTCAAATACCTCCTCAAACCATGCAATCTCAAACATTTATGAGACAACATGTCTGTATGTGTTGACCTGACGAGATAGGTGTGGCATATTAGCCTCTTTCCATAGTTTCTTTTCCCACCCATCGTTTCACAGGTCCTATCTCACACTCCTTTAAGCAAAAATTCCAAAAAGACAATGGCAGGAACCTGTCGTCAACCGTCAACACTGGTTGTCATGCTCTACTAAATCAAAAGGCAGCGAAGAAGCTTGGCGCCCTAGCTCTTCCAATTTCAGCCACTGAACAAAGTCCGCCTCTCATGTGCTAGGGCATGCCGAACACAAAATTTCCTTCATTATGGGTACACCGACTTAGCCGACAAGTGAACAGATTGGCTGTCTATCTGAGTCTATCTGTCCTTTCTTCCTGGGTGGCCTACCTATCCTACCTCCACATGTTGGGACACCGGGGTGGGGCACCCAGCACCGCACCGCGATGCGCCGCTCATGCGCCCTGCAGCCTTCAAAGGTGCAAGGCTCAGGACTGCAACTGGGCGGGTTGCCCAGCAAGGTCCCATCGTTGCAAAGATGTTGTGCTGGGAGGCCCGCATAACCTGCACGAGATCAATTGAAAGAAATCACACTTTCAGGTCTCCTGCAAAATCGAAATCACCATGGCACCGAACAGTTCTGTTTTTTCTGCAGATAGATCACTGCTACATCAGGAGATCATAGAACTTGCACGTCCATCGCTGAACATCAAAACACACACACACACAGAGAAGAGGAAGGAAAATTCAGCTCATCTAAATGTGCAAAACGGGGGGAAACAACGGGTCTTTGAGGTACCCTCACATGTTGCCCCCCTTCCACTGCTTGGACAACAAGCCTCAGGGAATGGGCATGATCCCGCCAATCCTGACCAAGGCAACGGTCCTTCGGGTGGTCTGGCGAATCCCCCAGCCACGGCCCTGCCTGCGTTGCACACACTTAGGCAGCTTTGCCCGTGCGTGGTCCCGTCACATGAGGAGCTGAAGGTGACGTTGCCGATCAACGTCGCAGGAACTTCACATCCTCAGTTCTCGCCGATTCGTTCGGCTCCGCACCGTGAAAAACCACGTGAAAACCCCAGGACCCACCGTCGGTGGTGAAATTCACACCTATCACCATCCTTAATCACTATGACACCCCACACCCCGAATCATTTCGAAAGGTTCAGATTTCTGTTGAAAAATACCTGCCACCATCAACGCCCCGGTTCGCTCCGGCCCGCTCGCTCACGACACCGGGACCGACCGGTGGACCCGGTGGACCGCTTCCGAAGCTACAGCTGAAGGGCGCTTCGCCTCGCAGATGGGCACGCTGCCGCTGAAGATGCCCGTGAGGTCGCAGGTGTAGTTGCTGGAGCTGCCCTGTGGTGCTGCGCGGGCACCACAGCAGCTTGTGTGGGAATGCGCTTCAGCGAGATTGGTGGGAGACTGGGTGGAATCAGGCTCGTCAAAACAGACTGACAAGAGCAAAGAGATGCAAAGAGGTAAAGACACGAACTGACTAACTGACTTGTCTCGTGGCCCTCAGCTAGACTCTGATTCCATCCCCTACTTCCCACAACACCTACCGATTGATCCTCTTGATCCTCCACAGCTTCTTCGGCTCTGCTAAACTCACGTGCCTGGCCTGATATCCAAAGTCACATTCCACCACACACTCGCTGCCTGGAGCCGGAGTCCAGC